TAAGTGGACACCCTGTATATGAGTTTCTTTCTTGTTCTAGAACCTCGGCCATAGTTCTTCAAGCTCTGTTGTTTTCGATCATATCTTTCAGTTTTATATGTTGAGTCTTGAGCCAACTTTTGCATTTTAAGACCTTTTCCTCAGTTTCCCTGTTTGCCTCCTTCAAGTGTTTAATTTGTGTTTTTATTTCCGATATTTTGTTCAGTGTCGACAGATAGAATGTCAGTTGGACCAAGAGAGTCATAGGTCAAGATCATTGGTTGAAAACAGTCAGAAAACTAGTTTCAACCAATGAAATTCACTCTGACTGGTTTGTGATTTCTGCAGAAACAGACCTACTACTTCAGTAAACTTTAAAGAATGATTAAAAACATTTTTTTTTTCATGTACGACCGGGCCGCAAAGCACCAGTTTGCGCCCCTCATTTGCGGTCGCAATTTGATACTTTGTTGGCGACACCGTGCTTTCTTTATTTATTAATTTTTCTGAAATGTTGTGATTTCAATTTTACTATATTTTAATTTCACTGCAGCCCACATTCTATTGAGATTAATTTATGTTATTTGCTTGAAAACAGTTGAAGATTTTTTTTCAAATATCTTTTATACCTTGTACTAGGTGTTTGTTTATAACTAGAACACTCAGTTACTTTCTCATATTATTGAAAATAAAGGGCATGTTTAAGCTGGAAAATTTCTTGGTAAATTGCAACCTTAAGCGCTACAACGATATTTTTTGTCGTCATAGGTTTACAGGGTATTTTTTTTTAAATGGAATGCCCTGTATATTTTTGTTATCCAAATAATATTTGATATGTTTGTGAAGCTAACTTTCTAAGAATTTCAAAAATGCAAAAATATACAGTGCGTTCCATTTAAAAAAAGAAATTTTCCAATTTGAACATGCCCTTTATTCTCAATAATAAAAAAGTTATTGAGTGTTCCAGTTATAAACAAACACCCTGTACAACAAATAAAATAAGTATTTTATTCTAGCTACACTTTTATGTTGAAGCCAAAAGATGACTTGCGCAAAGATTTTAGATTAATGGAATTCAATGATATAGTTAATCATTTATTACTCAGAGATGCTGAAGCAAGACAACGTAGATTAAATATTAGACTTTATTCTGTGGCTCCTTTGAACGAAGAGTGTGGTTTGATAGAGTGGGTTAATGATTTGGTAGGCTTGAGGCCCGTATTAATGAATATTTATAGACAGAAAGGTACAAATCTCATTTGATCTTGTAATGCGACTAAACTATTTGGTTATTTTCAGGATTGGGAATGCGACCGCGAGAAGTAAAAGAAGTCTGTTGCAATTTGAGAGATCCGTTAGCAAAGAAAAAAGAAATATTCAATAATGTTTTACTGAAACTGCACCCGCCAGTCTTGGGAGAGTGGTTTAGGAAAACATTTCCTGATGCACAAACATGGTTAACAGCGAGGACAGGATACATTAGGACTACTGCAGTTATCTCAATAACCGGGTATATGTTGGGATTGGGCGACAGACACGGCGAAAATATTTTGTTAGATTCTACATGTGGTGATGTTGTACATGTTGATTTTAACTGCCTATTCAACAAAGGTAAATTAATAATAGTTTCGTTTGGCAAAAATTTACTTCAATAACAATTTAAGGAGAATCATTTGAATGGCCTGAACGAGTTCCTTTTAGACTCACTCAGAATATGATCGCAGCAATGGGTCCTTTAGGGGTGGAAGGCGTTTTCAGAAAGGCTTGTGAATTCACTTTGAGAGTCCTAAGGACCAATACAGCTACCCTGATGTCTATTGTAACACCTTTTGTTTACGATCCTTTGGTTTCTTGGCCGAGAAATAATCCTTCTGTCGCACATAATTCCGAAAGAGTCAATGAACAGGTAAGGAATGTGGTCGAAATCAAATATTATGCCAGCAGGAGGGTTGAAAAGACAAACATCTAAAGGAGGTGGAAAGTGTTCAAAATTAAACTAATGGAATCAAGTTCTGATAGTAGATAAAAGAAACGATCAGTTCAGCCAGTTATCAGTTGAATTTATTTTGGCGCAGATAGATTTTTTGAACAAAAGCTCAGAAACTTACTCACATCAGGAACGGCTTAAGAAAAAAATACGGGGGATCAATTTGTAATGCCCGATTTAACTATGATATTTGCTATTCTGTTGATATTGCTGATATCCTAATTTTTTATTGGTATTGCAAACGATTTACTGTCACAAGATTATTAGAAACTCCCTCCAAGTAGGATCAAATATATTCTTCGTGAATCAAGACCTATGGCAACATCGCTTTATTGAACAAAAGTTCAGAAATATACTTTTATTTGAGAAATGGCTTGGGAAAAAGGGAAAAATTATGAAACTTGTTACAGATTTTTTAAAAAGTCTCTCCAAACCTTTTTTTATTTTAAGGCCTTTGAATATATAAAGAACATCGAGTTTAGACTGCAAGGAAAAGTGAAAACAAAAAGTAGGACTATGTCTCAATGTCTATCTATAGAAGGACAGGTCAATTATCTGATCAATGAAGCTAAGAGTGTGGACAATTTATGTCAGATGTACATTGGTTGGGGTCCCTACCTGTGAACCATTCTAGAAACTATTTTTTTATATGTTAGAGTAAGTAAGTAGAGTAAGGTTTGTTATTAAATCATATGTTAATAAATAAATATACATATATTTTTCCTTATATTTAATTATTTGTTTTTTACTCAAAAATCAAATTATTTTTGTATTTTGTATTTATTAAATAAACTTGAAAAAAAAAAAAAAAAACAATTTGAGTTACAATATTCTGTTATATATCGGGACTTGGGGCAAGTTCAATAATTCAAGACTATACCTTTTCAACTTCAAATTGGGACTAAACAACTTTAAGTTGGGAACTAACAAAATCATATTGAGAATTAACAATATCAAATTGGGAATAATCATATTCAATTTGGTACTAATCAACTTCAAATTGGGACTAATCAATTTTAATTTGGGAAGAAACAAATTTAAATTGGGAATAGGCTTATTCAATTTAGGAAATTATATTTGAGACTTTGACTTTGAGTTTGTTTTTCCTTCCGATTACATTCAAGTCCCTTAGAAAATCATGAACTATTTCTTCGAATTTGAGAAAAATATTTGTGCCAGCTCATATTCAACGCTTTATACCTGATGGCCGGATACGCTAAACATGGCTGATGAGTGATTTGCGAATGAAAACATTTCATCAAAATGAGATTATGTTCAAATTTTTCTTTTATTTCAGCGTAATTTCAGGATTTTCCTCTATGTATCCAGTCATTTATACCTTATGTTCTTCTAAAATGTTTGCTTTTCTTTGTCCCCCACGTTTCCTTCGAACAACTTCTTGGGTACCTACCCATCGATAAGCTGTAGATTTTTTTATACCCAGTGTGTTAGCCAATTTTCTTCAGTCGCCTTTGATATTAAAAACAGCACATATTTGCTTCTCAGCATTTTCTGCATTAGGTGTTTTAATTTAAGGCGTTTTGTTAATTTAATATACGGTTTAAACGCGTAGCTGCCGGTTGACTTGCAAAACTTTAAAATTTATTCAACAATTCCAATTTGAAGTTGATTAGTACCAAATTTAAATTGTTTATTTCCAATTTGACTTTGTTTATTCCCATTTTGAACGTGTTAGTTACCAATTAAAAGTTGATTAATCCCAATTTGAAATTGCTACGTTCCAAATTGAAATTGATTGTTCCCAATTTGAAGTTGAAAAGGTATAGTTTCGTTTCGTATCAAAAATCATTCTATTCTATTAATTCCCCAACTTTAGTACAAGTTTACAATAATAAATATATTAGTATAACAATAATTATCCTATCATCATAACATGTCTGACGCAGGACATTATTAACCTAGTTAGATATTATACATTATTATATACCGTATGTTACTAATTTACTTTACTTAACTCTAAATATATTTCTTAACTCATTATAATACATCCACATCTACTACACCTCCTACGCAAACAAAAAAAAATGAAAAAAAAAAAGTCTAATCATACATCTATACATTAATTATTGTCTATGTCTATGTCATTAATTGTGAGTAAATACCTATACAGTATCTATTTCTCAAAATATGGCTTAATTCTATTTTTATGTATTTCTTTAACCTTATGCCCTATACGTATCAAAATATTTGGAGCTCTATCCTCAATAACTACATATGGTCCGTTAAACAACGCCTCCATTTTAGTTCCTACTTCGTTTTTTATTAAAATTTTATCCCCTGGCTTGTACACTATTGTTTTAGTTTTTTCGTCATATATTTGGTTTTCCTTTTCAATTTCGATTTTATCAAATTATCTCTTGCCTCTGCTTGTGCCTGCTGCAACCTGAACTTTAATTCTAGCGGATAGCTATCAAAGTTGTATAAAGGATCAATTTGGCGTGTTATCTGTGAAGGTAAACTACAAACTTTCCCAAAAACTAACTCGTAAGGGGTGTACTCCGTTTCCGTATGAACCGTAGTATTGAAAGCAAAACTCCAAAAATGTACCCAAGAACTCCAGGAATCTGGGAACTTATCACTTTGCATTCTTAAGAACGCGCCTAAATTTTTGTGAGTGTTCTCCAAACTTCCTAAAGTCTGATGGTGATATGCCGTAGAAGAAATTTGTTGAACCTTGAGAATTTTGCAAATTTCTTTCAGAATTTTCGACATAAATTCTGTACCTTGATCCGAAACAAGTGTTTGTGGGACACCGAAACGTAAAATGAAATTTTGAACAAAGGCTTTCGCAACTGTTATTGCTTCCTTATTATTAATTGGGTAGCATTCCACAAACTTCGTTAACTCACACTGGAATGTAAGTATATATTGGTTATTATCGTAGTCTACTGGTAGTGGGCCAACAAGATCTAAAAAAACTTTCTGGAAAGCTGACGACGCGGTTGTAGTGATTGTCATAGGCTCCACATAAGGCCTTGAATGTTTATACCTCTGACACTCATCACAACGTTTGACAAAATCTTGTACATTTTTTTGCAAGCCACTCCAAAAATAGAATTTTTTGATATTGTTGTACATGCGGTTCATACCTGCATGCCCCCCACTTGGCAGAATGTGAAAATCGTTTAAAATTATTTGTCGCATTTCCTTACCCTGTACTTTTTGCACATCTCTTATTATTGATAATCTCAAATTCATATTCTTAATTATTATGGGATCCCTAAATATATTTTCAATCAAAATTTTATTTCTAGCATTTTTTAATATAATTACTTCCGGAATTTGAAACATTTCGCAAATTTCTTTTAAGTCTCTCAACGATGCACCAGATGCTAACGCTGATCGAGTTTGCTTAAATATAATCGCGTTTTCTTTTTTCAAATAAATGACATTTTGTAAACAGTAATTATCTTTGCCCATGTTTTTATTAAAATCCTCTACTGATGTGACGTAAGCCTCAACGTAACTTTTAGGCGGTTTCAATAGCTCCACCACTCCAGGTGATCAAGTCTTTCGTGGGCAGTGCTATTAAAACTGCTATCGTCAACAGATGTGGCTTGTTTTCTCGTTACAGCGAACATACTACATACATTATTTGACATATTTTTCAACTCATCCGATGAGATTGTGATACGGGATAAAGCGTCTGCTGCCACATTAGTTTTACCTTTCAAATATCGAACTTCATACGTGTACTCCTCTAAAAGTAATCTGAATTTTGTTAACCGACTGGAAGGGTTAGTCATGCCGAATAAGTAAACTAAAGGCCTATGGTCCGTATCTATAATAAACTTTCTCCCATATAAATAAGTTCTAAAGGTTTTCACTGCAAAGCAAATCGCTAAGAGTTCTTTATCTATGACTGGATAATTTCTTTCATGACTATTCAAGCTTCTGCTGGCATACGCTACAGGTTTGTCATTTTCATTAGACAGGACTGCTCCTAATGCCACATTTGAAGCGTCGGTTTTGAGAATAAATATGTTTGTTTCTGAAAAATCTGGGTACTGCAAGACGGGGGGGTTCATTTATGCCTGCTTTAAGCCTTCGAAGGCCTGCTGGCAACGTGAATCCCACCTAAATGGCACCCCTTTTTTACTTAAAAAATTGAGAGGTGAAGCTATATCCGCAAAGTTTGCTATATGCTTCCTATAGTAGTTAGCGAATGCCACGAAACGTTTGGTTTCATTTGCGTCTTTTGGAACCGGAAAGTTTAAAATTGCCTTAGTTTTTTCGGGATCTGGAGCTACCCCTTCCTTCGATATTAGATGACCTAGATATAATATTTCTTGCTTAAGAAAGTCACATTTTTTTGGATTCAATTTCAAGTTAACTTGCCGTAACCTATCTAGTATTTTTACCAAATTCTGATTATGATTAGTTAGGCTATTTCCAAAGACAATTAAATCGTCCAGGTAAATAAAACACGAAGAATTATTTAAGCCTGCCATTGCAATTGACATAGCTCTTGAAAAGGAACTCGGACTTATCTTTAAACCCATAGAGAGTCTTGTCATTTGAAATTGCCCTTTGTCGGTGACAAAGGCAGTACATTGTCTGCTTTCCTTCTCAAGCTCTATTTGGTAATACCCTTGTGACAAGTCCAAATGCGAAAAATAGACTGCTCCTGATAAAGAATCTAAAATATCGGTTATGCAAGGCAAAGGAAATTTATCATCAATTGTTCAAAAGTCTGTAATCTAAAACTAAACGCCATTTTTTATTTCCTTCCCTATCTGCATGTTTTGGTACTACTAATAAGGGCGAGGACCACGGTGACTTGGCCTCTTCGATAATACCGTTTTTTAGCATGTCATTAACTTGCCTATTTACTTCTTCCTTATGCGCATGTGGCAACCTGTACGGTTTAACATATACAGGGGCCTTGGATGGCTGTAAACTTATTTTTTGTTTATAAATGTTTGTAGTCGTGAAAGGGTCTTCGTCTAAGTAAAAAACATCTGAATATTTAGAACAAATTCTTTGAATTGAATACTTCTCGGATCGCTGTAAGTGATCAAGTTTCAACATGCTTAAAATTGCATCTATTCTATCAACAGTTTTGTCTGTAGTGCTGAAACTGCAGATTTCGTACTCACTAAGTGACCCCGTTTTTGGTGTAAAATTCTTTAACAGTACGTCATTTTCACGCACATTCAAAATTCGAACAGGAATCTTATTGAGCTTTGGTCTAGCTGCGGCGCTAGCCACAAAAACTCCTTCGGATATCTCTTCTGGCAAGACAATGCAATCTTCATTATTGCATATGTCAAAGTATTTAATTATTTCGCACCTTGCAGGAATAGATACAATTTGTTCATGTTTTTATTATGTTCTGAATTTAAATAAAAGACTCACCTGGTTGTAGGTTATTTAATATAAATTCTGCAACTTTATGCGGGACCTTGTAGGAGACTTCACGAAGACCCATGCAAATATTGACTGACTGATTGTCACCTCAGACAACTTGTCTAGCACATGGTGGTTTCGATAATCTCATACATAACATTTCCCTCTTTGTTGTTAAAGATTTAAACGTACTGGAGGTTTAACTATTCTACCTAAGCGTGTTCGTGTCATGGAGGAAGGTGAAACATTTTCAA